CTGGGGAATTCTGGGAGTTGAAGTCCACTCATCTTAAAGTGGCCAAGTTTGGACAACACTGCTTTAGGCTGTCTTTCGGTCCCTCTCAGGAGACTGGGCAAGCTCATTCTCTGTTAACAGCAGTGGCCTGATCATTTTAAGCCATAGCACAGCTTTTCCACCTGCAGCATGATAGACCAACATGGTTTCCCTTTTTGTGGATTGTGAGAAGTATTTGTTTTGGCTTCTCTGAAACTCATTTCCTTTTTCTTTCTTTCTTTCTTTCTTTCTTTAGACGGGGCAAGCTGCAGAGAGAGTCTGACTTCATGGCTAGTGTAGACAGTAGCTGGATCTCCTGGGGTGTGGGAGTCTTCATTTTGAAACCCCTGAAATGGACCTTGTCTAGTGTATTGGGTGACAGCAAAATGCCGGAGGAAGAGGAAGTTCTGATTTACGTGGAGATTCTCAAGGTATGGTTGGTTACTAATATTTGTGAGTCAGGTATTATGAAGAAACTGGGAAGGCAGATTTTTTTTTTCTTTGTGCTTTGATAAGATGTCTTTCCTGCTCAAAAAGTGCTTCCCTCTCCCCTTTTTCCATTGCCACACCCTGTTTCTGGAATGTCCTTTCTGGAGAGACATGCCTGTCATCTAACACTACGTGCCTTTGGAGCTAATTAGTTTGCACAGTGGTTCCCAGCTATTCTTTTTTCAAACAGTCATGTTAATACTGTTTTGTTGCTATTTATTGTGATTGTCACTTTACTATTTATTACTGTGTTTTTGCTACGGTGGATTTTTTCATTGTGCTGCTTTTATGCTGCTTTTATATTGTTTGATTGTTTATACTTTGTTTGAACTGGGTTGCAAACAGCCCAGAGAATTGCAGTTACGGCATTAGACTATCTTAGATGTACAAAGGATACATTCAAGGAACACAGGGCTGATTCACACAGGCACCCTGTCCCCTGCCTCTGTTATAGATTTGGGTTTTTTTATATATATGTTCAAGGATCAAGTGGTCTTAGGAGTTCATATATTTGTTTGGGTTTCCGGTGGCATGCTACTTTATGTCTTACATAAACGGTGGGAAGCTCAGCTCATTTCCTGTCAGATCTACGTTGCAAATTCTAATGAGGTTCTCTCAGGGCATCTTTTTACTCACTAAATTATAATTATAGATTGGCACAAAGTTGAGATGGACTGTCAGAATGCCATATGCTCTGTAATTGAATAGAAGAGTTAACATGCCAGAATCATCTCTCTCTCTAGTCTTGCATAGTGCTGTACTGCACACAAACTTTTTTTTTTCCATACTGTAGTGGGAATGTACAGTTGAATGATAGCCCTCTTGCTTGCTTGTAATAGCTGCCAGCCTTCAGACCTCACCTCTGCTCCCCATCTGTAGGCCTTTGCTCTTGCTTCTCACGTTTCCTCTCAAACACACACCCTCTACACACGCCTCCTCCTCCACTCTGTCTTAGTGTTTGCTTTTTTAAGCTAAGAGCCTGGGTGGGGTGAGGCCATGTTCTATGGTTTTTATATTTTTAAAGCTGCACTGGGGTGGCATTTAATTTCGTTGTACAAGTAGTACAATGACAATAAAGATTACTACTACTACTACTGTCACAGGCAGCTGGAAAGCTGCTCTGGATGTTTGCGAGCAGTCAGGGAAACAAGGGAGATGGAGTGAGAAATGTTTCTGCCTGGCTGCAGTTTACCTTTCCCAAGTGCAGACAGCAACCCCAACTTCACTCCCCCGCAGTTCCTAGAACAGTGTTTCTCAACCTCAGCAACTTTAAGATGAGTGGACTTCAACTCCCAGAATTCCCCAGCCATCTTAGTTGCTAAGGCTGAGAAACACTGTCCTAGAGAGATTTATTTCCATGCCTTGGGTGAAGCCCTGACATTTCTAATATTTCTTCCTGTGAGTACCTCCTCTTTGTATGTTGCCAGTTCTGTATTGGCTAGATAAAGATGCAGATTTACCAAACGTGTTTGATATTTATATAAGGCGTAAGAGCGTTAAGTTGTTCTTCTGCCATTGGGACAAGTACCAAGTAGCTGCTGTATTTTCAGGAAGTTTCCTAAAGAATTTCTCTTAAAACACTTGCTTTAGATGTGTAGATGTTTGGATATGTGTTGCTAGAGCCATTGATGTTTTTGTTAGCCCTGAAGGCATTATATTATTTCTTGTGAGGCTGATACATAATATGTCCATTGAATAAGCATAAGCCTGCCCAATAAAGTTCATCAGAGTAGGTGTGCTGCAGGTCCCCTCAATTAAACAATGCCATTTAGTGGGACTTTGGAGGTGTGCCTTCTCTGTCATGGCACCTGCCCTCTGGAACAGCATCCCCCAGAGATTCATACAGCTCCCACCTTGATGAAGTTCTGAAAAGCATTGAAAACTATTGGCTATTCTGCCAGGTCTTGGGGTAGGGTACTGGTGAGTCCCTGTGACATTTGTGTTGTTCTGTATGTGTTTGTTTCTGGTTCTGGCTTTTTATAATGTAAATTGCCCATGGTTGTTGGGAGCCCGGCATTCTTTAAGTCTGTATAAATAAATCAGACACCCTGGACTTTATTTGTAGTCTGTTGTCGAAGTTCCTGTTGCTATTTCAGTCCATGTCTGGATGGGTTCACATCTTACAGTAAGAAATAATGGTTGCTTGGAGTATGTGTTAATTGCTGCAATTTGTAAACCATGCCTTATGGCTTAGCATTATACGTGAACCCAGTTACCATGACTTATGTGAGTATGTAGTCCTGCATTAATTTTGTTTGTGTAATAATTCTGTAAATAGGAGCTAATAGAAGAGAGCATGTTTAAAAACCATAATGATGCACTTTTCTATTCTGTACCCCTAATTTAGTGAGGTGCTACAGTTACTGCTGCCTAGCTTGAACTGAACCTGGTAAATATACAAAAATCATTAATCCTTCACCTAATCCCTCACTTTCGGGTTTAGGGTTACTTTACTTTCAAAAGAACAAACAAACAAAAAATCTCTGTAAACATTTCTGACTATAAATTTTTCAGAAATGATTTTCTGAAACTAAGACTATGAATAACCTGTGCATTAAAGCACAGAAGGTCACGTAGCCTAGAAGCTAGGACTTGATTCATCCATGATGATTTGTACTTCTCAGCCAGGCCTAACACTTAGAGAGTGTTGTAGGGCAGATAGGTGGAAGGAGAGAACCTTGCACCCAGGGCTTCATCTGTATTAGTTCTTGATGGTTTGGTGTTTATTATTTGGGAGAGGGGGCCTGATCTAGATCATGCTGTTTCACCACCCATCCATGCTAGACATCTTTTTGACAGATGTGCTTTTCTTCATAGCATTGTGCAAATATACTGACATCAAAGTAGAAAGCTGCCTATAGAGGCGAATATGTATAGCTCAGGGTTGAACTGTGGAGTCCTTGGGGTTCTCTGAGCTTGGTCCTTTTCTTGCAAGATAAGATCCAAGCTCAGAGAACCCCCCCAGAAAGCTGCCTTTTTAAAATAATTTGTGCCAGGCAACATAAGAAGAAAAGCTGAGCTGTAGCAGTTTGTAAGCAGTCATGATAGCTTATTATGAAACTCTTGGGATTTCCATCTTGTTATCTTTATTGTATCTCCTGACAATTATGGGCACAAATGTACTGCTTTTTGAGATACAGATTAAACCATGCAAATGCAGCTTCTTGCAAGGCTTTCGCTCACCCCAAGATATTTTCAGTGTAGGCACTGAATCAGTCTGAGTCAATGCTTTGTGGCGCATTGACAAACTGTATGCAAATGTGTATCTTACAAATAAGATCTGTGTGAAACTATAACATCACAGTTAAATATTCAAATGGCACATTTTGAAAAAGGCTGCTTTAGTGACTGTAAACAATGCTTACCTAGGATGCACAGAATAACTGTATATTAGTTTTAGATTGTTTGGGTTGATAATTAGCATAAATTTTTCAGAAAGTGGAGGAAGAGCTCACTTCCATAAGCAGATGACATTAGATGGTTAAGGAAGCAGAGCTATTGACAACAGTGACTCCTTGGGCAAGATGAGATTGTCCAAAATGCCACCCCTAAGCAGGTCTATTTAAAGAAGGGAAATGTTTAGCTTTCAAACCCTGGTGTTTTTGACAGACACATTTGTTTCAGAAGTAACTAGTTTTCTTATTCATCAAATATTTACCTTATGACCCTCAAGCAAGATTTTGTCTCCAAGAAATTACTCACCTGTTGAAGTAAAAAGCATAAGAGGAGGACTGTAAAAAAAAAAAAAATTAAGTGGTTCTTTTTCCTCATCCCAGAAACCTTAAAAGAAATAAACGAACAGGCAGTTGTTCTTACAGACCTTTAAATGATCAGCTTGAATGGCAATAATTTAAGAACAGGAGCCAAGTCAAGGTGGTGCAGCCCTGGAGCAGCCCTACTTCCTGGTAGATTCCTCTACTATGACCTAATATAATATAGTACAGTACATGAACAAGTATAAACTTTAGAGATATGAATGGCAGAGTATTTGGTGTGGAAAAAACATATTTCATTTGAGACAGTTTTCACTCCTGGTGACTGTCTGGTCTAGTCCCTTCAGTTTTCTTGGCAAGGTTTTTTAAAAGTGGTTTGCCTTTGCCTCCTTCCTAGGGCTGAGAGAGAGTGACTGGTCCAAGGTCACCCACCTGGCTTCATGACTAAGGAGGGACTAGAACACACAGTCTTCTGGTTTCTAACCTGGTGCCTTAACCTCTGCACCAAATTGACTCTGAAAAAAAAAGCATACCTCAGTTATTTAATGTAATGTTAATTTTTCTCTTGTGGCATGGATCGTGTTTGTTCTAACTTTTTTTTTCACCTTGTTAAGTGCAAGTTAGCTATTGGAAACATATAATTTAATGACTGTCTGATAGACAATAATCACTGTTTAATCTTCTCTGCAGCTATTCAGTATACATGCCAAGTCTAGTGATCTGTATTGTATTCTGCCTTCTGCTGTAAGTGATAGTTATGAGATGTTATAACCATCACTTGTAGTGATATTTTCTCTCTTTTTTTGGGGGGGATCCCTATTTGGGTATTAAGTATTTGTTTGTCTTTGCATTTTTTTAGGAGAAGGCAGAAGAAGTCTATAATCTCTACCAGAATTCCACACTTTCATCCCACCCTGTTGTTGGTTTGTCCGAGCTGCGCTCCCTGTGCACCAGTATCTGTCCAGATGAGCAAACATTTTGTCTGGTGCTGCTCCAATTGCAGAAGGAAAAGAGGGTCACTGTCCTGGAACAGAATGGTAATAAGGTATGACATACAAGTGATTGCTTCAGGCAGGTATCCTATCTCTATATTTATTGATCTCTAAGAAATCAATAAAATCAGTTTACAAATAGCCAGTTGCTTGTACTTACTCTGTAGAAAGCATCCACTCCTGACATTAAAATCCAAAGAGGCAATAAAAGTTTGTCTGATTGATTGATTGGTTATGTGCTATTAAGTCAGTGTTGACTCTTAGCAACCCCATTTTCTCCAAGATGATCTGTCCCCACCGTGGCCCTTCAGGTCTTCCAATGGTGCGCCCATCACCGCTATAATTGAGTCTGTCCACTTTTCTGCTGGTCATCCTCTTTTTCTCTTTCCTTCCTGAATTTGAAGACCCCAGTTAATGAAATAGTGCAGTTAGGTTTAGTGGTATTTGTAAGTACGGATAGAAGAAGTGACTGTTGGCAGGAGGTAGGTCATATTTTGCACCCATATGTTATTACAAGAAAATGTGTATATGGAAATTAGAGTGCATTTTTCCATGAACATGGTATAATATTAATTCTTAAACAAGGTTAGTGTGCTCCAGAATGAACAAATGCGGCTGAGATCTTATTTTTGCTTCTAATCTCAAAATCATGCCTAGGGTAGTGTATTTCTCCCTTCTGTTATGAAAGGCGCTGTTCTGGAAGTACAAATTGCTTCCTTGTTGTGCTAATAAATTAGCTGGTTGGGGATGTGGGAAAAGAGACAGAGAACCTTTCTTGTAGCACAGAAAACACAGTCTACTGGTACAGTCACTTTAGTTTCCAATCTGTCCAGATGGATGGTAGATCAATGATATTTAGATTTGGGAGGTTATGAAATATACAGTTTGAACATGCATATTAGGCACGGTAATTATGTAATAGTTATATAAAGGACAGTTTAACAACTAGTTAACTGCAGGGTTTTTAATATAAATATATACTATGAACAGTGCTGTTTTACAATATTTCACAGAAAAAATAGGGACCACTTTGGACATTTCTGTTTTCCCTCCAAGAGTCTCTGCCTCCCTACTCCCCATTTCTAAAAGTTCTGCTCCATATCTATTGCTTGTCCCACAGGAACTTTTCCTTACTGTCTGAAAAGAGAAGATGTTTGGTCTTTCAGTTAAAGATATATTGCAGAAAAACATAATTATCCTACAGTTTGTAAGCTATAAATGCAAAATATTTCTTGGTGCATTTGACAGAACAATTTGAAGACTACATGGTGCCTTCATGTTCATGCATTTACATATTATATATATTATATGAGATAAGATGTATCCACCCTATAATTCAGGCGTTTTAATTTCCATAGGAGAGCCAGTTTGGTGTAGTGGTTAAGGCACCAGGCTAGAATCGAGGAAACTGAGTTCTAGTCCTGCCTTAGGCACAAAGCCAGCTGGATGACACAGGGCTGAGAGAGGATGACTAGCCCAAGGAAGAAGACAGCAGTGCCAAACCACTGCCAAAAATCTTGCAAAGAAAACTGCAGGAATTAGTCCAGGTAGTCGCCAGGAGTCAAGATTGACTTGAATACACACAAATCCATAGAGGGAAGCAAAATACCTTGAAATCTCAGGTAAATCCAACTACTATGAGCAATTCATTTCTAAAAGATAAATTAGGGACAGGAATAAATCTTATTAGTCTTAATAAGAGGCCATTCTTGATCATATTGTGAGCCTCGTAGTTTAATATCAAGTAATAACATTGTCTTTCAGATAATGAAATTTGCCCGAGGTCTTCATGCAAAAGTCTCCCCAGTGAATGATGTGGACATTGGGGTTTATCAGTTGATGCAAAGCGAACAGCTGTTGTCGCAGAAAGTGGAATCTCTGGCACAGGAAGCAGAGAGGTAATATGGGGTGTGTGTCCTTTGTCTTCGTAAAAACTGCAAATAATGGCACAACTGAGATGTTATTCAGCATCATTCTTTAAGGAAAATCCCGAACTTCAAAAGGGCAAAATTATGATAGTTCATAAGGTTTATGAAAGCAGTTTATTTGACGATTGAATAATACACACAAAAAGTAAGAAAAAAGCCTATTTGTCATTGCCTTAGTTGTGGTGAGCTGGGCCAAAGGTACAGAGAGAATAATGGGATTGTAGCCATTCCTAGTCTAAAAAATGGACTAGCTCATCTCTTGCCTTTTCAGATGTAAAGAGGAGGCTCGGAGTGCCTGTAAAGCTGGGAAGAAACAACTGGTAGGTACTGATGGAAGTCAGGTACTTGGCGTCCCAAGCAGGATGTTCATCTCCAAAGCTGTCCTGCTGCAGATTTCCAAAATTGCGGTGCTCATAACTTTTTAGAATCTGTCGGGACAATGGGTGAGTTGAGGAGAGCAGGAGTTATGATACAGACGTATCCAGCTTGCTATGCCCTCTGGTTAACTTCTTTTGTACCATGGGAACAACATGCCTTGTTCACTGCAAGAATGTTCTAGTTTCTTGTCCAAAGCTCAGCTTTCCCCCAGTGAGTAGAATTCCTGGTTTTCGAGTGGCGTGTTTCTGTAATGTGAAGTGTGATGTCTACACATTGGTAGATGTTGAAACCTACTGATAAGATCAGATGTAACTTTCACAAAGAGGTGTTTGATTTTCTTTTCTTTTTTCTTTTTTAATTCTGAGAAGATGGATTTTCCCCTACACCGTAAGTTCAGGGCATGATCAGCTTTGAAAAGATGGTATGATATCTTCCCCTAGTAGTATGTGGCTCTTTACAAATCGTTTGCTTCTTCAGGGGCTCTTTTCGGAAAAAAATATTTCTGGGGGTTATACTTTCTGCTCACTTAACTATGGAATGGCCATTTATCCTAAGTCAAACATGTATTGCTGTTTCTTGTTCTCTTCAAGCAACAACGCTCTTCTACAAATGGATCGTTACTGTATTTAGGGCGATGTCAATCTTTCTGTGTCGTGCATTTTTTAAAGTATTTAGGACATGCAGTTGATGAAAGGCATTCTTTGCTTTTTATTTAGTTTCTGGGTTTTCTTGGGGTAATAGCTACTTTAACTGTACATTAGCCTATCTGAAGATTTAGCACATAGTTTTTCTTTAATGTCTTACCACAGAATTGGGGGCAATAATGCTACTGATTTGAGGGAATTTACCAATGATTTTTAGCAGTGTGATTCTGGGGAGCTCCAATCACTGGGGGGGTGGGGGGTGGGGCTTAATAGTAACATGTGAAGTGTCTAGCCCCAGTTTAGGTCTCATGTTCCGTGAATTGTGGATGGTACTAACAGAACTCAAAAAAAGATTAACGAGAAACTAAAACCAGCCCTTAAATATGTTCTTGTCTTGATTTCTCTGAATAGTGAAGGAGTGTTTTCCCAGTTTTTCCTCTCTTTTGATTAAAGTGTGCTTTTTATGGTCCTAGGCCCTGAGGTCTTTGAAGTCCAGAAAAAGAGTAGAAAGGCGCATTGCAGAACTTCATTCCAAGTTGGACGTGGTACAAGGCATCCTAGATCGCATATATGCCTCCCAGACAGATCAAATGGTATTTTTTTTTTGCTGCCTGTCATTCATGTTTCTTGAGTTTTATGCTTCGTTTTCTTTCCAGAGCACTGTTGACTTACCCACTGAGGATCTCACTTAGATTGTCCCAAACAAGTACTAACTCTCTTCTTTTCTGCTCTCCTTACACAGTATATGCATTAGACTTGGCATCTCTGCAGCTGGTTAATTTGCTTATTGTGTGGCACAGTGCTGTGTTGCGAGTCATGCTATGTTTAATCTGATAGCTCCACATGCCTTAGAATTGCTGTGATAGGAGAGTTATAAAGGGAGTCAAAAGACTGCAGTCATCTGACCAAGATACTTACCTTTTTAATGTATGAAGTTTGATTTCTCTCTTGCCCAAAAGGTATTTAATGCTTATCAGGCTGGACTAGGAGCCCTGAAGTTATCCATGAAAGATGTGACTGTGGAAAAGGCAGAGAACCTAGTGGATCAAATTCAAGAGGTACTGTGAGAAGTGGGCACTGCTCAAGAAGAGGAGATGTACATGGGTAGAATAGAAAGGTCACTGTGTGTAATTAATATTTCTGCTTCTCCCACAGCTTTGTGATACCCAGGAAGATGTAACTCAGACTTTAGCGGGTGTGGCAGTCAATGGCTCGGGTGAGTCAAAACTTTTCTCCAGCGCTCTTCTGGTTCCACTTTCTTCTTAACAGCTACTGATCCGGAACATTAATTGTTTTCCTAAAATTATATTTGGTCTCTACAGCAGTGTTTTTCAAACTTGGCCACTTCAAGGGGTGTGGATTTCAACTCCCAGAATTCGGGGAGTTGAAGTCCACACCTCTTAAAGTTGCCAAGTTTGAAAAACACTGCTCTACAGCTGGCTGGGGAATTCTGGGAGTTGAAGTCCACTCATCTTAAAGTGGCCAAGTTTGGACAACACTGTTTTATAGCATCCACTGTAGGTTGAAGGCATGTGTCCTGTTTCCAGCTGTAATGCATAGAACTATTGAAGTCTTGACTAAAAGTGCCTGGGCAGTTATATATTTTCCTCTTACCTAATTATTATGTCCTTTACTCTCTGGATTACATATCAGTCTCCTGTTCTCTGGAGATTCCTTTTCAGTATTATTTGTAAGTGTCCACATGTGGTGTGGATTAGATTAAAATTATGGATGAAGTTAATAATATAAATCTTGGCTAGTTTATGAAAACGTTGATGTTTTTACATGTGACACTTTACAGCCAGTGATGGGTCACTCCAGTAAGTGTTAGTAACTGTTGCGATATAAATGCATAATAACATTGCCATTGTGCTGTTTTAGGCATGAAATAAGAGAAAAGGAAACCACTAAATCTAATTTATTGCACACCATTCTTGCTTTCGCCATATCCATAGACTGTTTAATACATTGCCTTTCATTCTTTAAGATTCTCACTTCTCTGTTTTTGAAAATTGTTTAGCTCCTTCCAAGCATGACTTCCTCAATTTCTATCTTCCTCTTAGCCCATTCACTTAAAAAGGTACACTTATTCATCTACTTGCTCCATGGTTTTTCCTTATACATACTTATATGCATACGTAAAACCATTTGCAGCCATTCTCTCCATTTTCCCTGTCAATCACAACTACCTTAGGCTTTGATACATTAATTTGCAAATCCTGCAGATCATTAGAATTCACATCATCTCTGTACAAAACTACATATACTTCCATGTCACCAACCAACATACCTCTAGTGTCACCCCAAGTATTCCTTTTCATCATTATTTTCTTGGACTTCTACATTTATAGCATTCGTTTCAATTTCACTCAATTTCCTGCAGGACTGTATTTTGTCATTCTACTTTCACTGTATGTTTTCTATGTTTTTTTTTCTTACTCTTGACAAAATGATCTGTCCCACATTCAGAACTTCTTATCAGCAGTAATGATCTCAATCATTCCTCATAAGCAATGAAATCACTCAGGGATTTACATTTATATTTGCTGCTTTGCTGCATATGAATAGACTTACACTTCAATGACATATTTGAAACAGACCTTTTTTCTAAGCATCTCTTCGCCAGTTACCATTCTCATTTATTCTTGAGTCTGAATGGCCCAGCTGCTTTTTCTGTACTCTCTCATGTCATTCCCACCCATCCATTCATCAAACCTAGCAAAATGCCCCCTCCCCTCCCCTCCCCTCCCCTCCCCAACCACATTCATTCAGAATGTTGTACCATGTTCTTCTATTATCATCACTCACTGAAGCATAAGGTTTGATAAAGCAATGGAAGAGAGAGAGCCAATAACATTGAGACTTATCATGAAAGCCGGAATTGGTTTTTTGAGTTTGATGGAGCATATCAATATTGTTATTAAAGACCATTGGAATTCATAAACTGAAAGAATTGCTTATTAAAAGTGCAATGTACCCATTAACTGACAGTTACCTACAGGTAGTCCTTGGCTTATGACCATTCATTCAGCAACCCTTCGAAGTTACAAATGCACTGAAAAAAGTGACTTATGACCGGTGCCCAAAGTTACGGCCATTGCAGCCCCCC